AAAGCCACAGAAATGTTTGTGGGGAAGATCTTTCAAAGAAAATGTTGATGCCATTTTTTTGTTGTAAAAGCTTTACATAATAATGGTCCTATTCAGTGCTGATGATAGACAATAGGAATGTGACTTAGTTACTAACATTGTCAGTTCCTGAAACAATGTTTCTGCTATCTGTAACATAACATTTCTGAAATCTGATTCCCCGTAATTCCCAGTAGAGCTATGTGTAGTTGCTAAATTGAGAGGTGGAGACTCTCCTCAAAAACGAGATAAAATATCCAAACAGCAACGTTGTGAATCACTACTGAAGTAATTGTTCTTGAAACAGAAAAATTGACCAAAGTACCAGGAAATTCTTTAAAATGGGAACTTATTTAAATTTCACTTAACTTTTAAGGGTTTTGATCGTGAATAATGAAATTGATTCTTTTCATGTTACAGTTAATCATGTACATGAGATACATCAGATTGAGACACTGTTTCCAGTACCAAATTTAAAGCTATCCTAGCTGAGACAAGAGCAATGATGGTGGGAAAATTAATGACAAATTATAACCTTAATCTCTAAATATCCTTTTTTTGATAGGCTTTATTGCAGCTGTTTCCATTACATTTTTTTTAATGTTGTGTAAATTTCAAAGAAAACATATTCTTGAGACAAAAATGAGTAGCTGACTGTCTTCATTTTTCCCTTTGTAGGCAACAAGTAACAGAAATCATATTTGTTTTAAAAGCTGTCAGTACCCTCATAGATTCACTTAAAAAAACTCAACCTGAAAATGGTAAGTTCTTGTTAAACAACATGGTTCTAAACAAGATAACATTATATCTGCCACAAAGAGATATTTATTCTCTCCTGTAGTAATTTTCACATAAATTTGAAAGAAAAGTGTAATCTGTGAGATTCAGTATTTTGTAATTCTGTGTATATGTAGGTGGCAGGTAGACTGAAAAAAAAGCCTACAGTTTTTCCAGTGTACCTAAAATTTTGTATAAGGTCCTAAGATATATTTAATAAAATACAAAACTTCAATTTGTCGTGTCTTTTATTAGATAGAGCTTGGTGTCTTCTAAAACCAGCTAAACAAAAAACCCTCCATAAAATATTTAATAAAATTCTTAAATATATGTAGTCTTGCTAGATCCTTTTTCTTCTCATGATACCTTTATAGCTCAATATGGATCATTCACATAGATGCACTCTGCAATTAAAGGGGTATATAAGTTAAATGAATGGGAAGGCTGTTGGAGACTTAACTTGCAGTCTTGCTTTCCCTCCCTCTGTAGTACCTCCTGTCCCCTGTATTCAGAAAGATGTCTTAGCTAATTGATGCCCAAGTAAATGGTTGACAGATGTATTAAGGGTTGAATTAAATGGAAGGCCCCAGTTGCATTTATAGTTGTGCGTCCTGTTCCTCCTGTAAGCTGCACCTACTGTATGCATAGAGCATTCCCACCAGAAAACTTAGTCCGGAGTCTGAGTTAAACCAGCTGTACTGGACTCTGCAACTCTGACAGAATTGCATATACAAGACTTCCCTCTACCTCCCTGCTTTTGATACTGTGAGGAACAGACAAAACCTTTTCAATCCTGAGGCAAACAAACAAACCAGCCTTTCCAGAAAAACACAGGCAGGTGGGTTTCCTGAAGGAGGCAGTGCCTCACTTGCAGCATCCGTGAGCAGCCAGATTCATGATGATGTGCTTTCCAAGGCTGATGGCAAAAGGCTGAGGGCAGAACTATGCCAGGACACATAATGCCTTTTGGCAAGCCCTGAAGGCAACTGAAATGCTGCTTTGGTGGACCTTGCTCTTAGAGGGGTAGAGTAGCCAGCTCAGCTGGACTCGTTCCCCACATCCCTTTTCTTTGCAATGAAAGAAATTCTTCACCTGGTCCATATATGGCAGTGATTGACAAACCTCCTGCATACTTTCTTATGAAGAGAACCACTGGACAAATTAGAGAATCACTTTACTCTGCTTCTTCGAGCTGTTAATGATTTTATTTAAGAAAATTATTAATTGTCTGAAATCAGGGTTTTGTTCTCTTTTGAAAACAGAGCTAAAATGGAGATAAGCAAGGAGGTGACTTCATAAATAAGATCAAATTAATTTCACTTGTTGGACTAACAAACTTTACCATGGTTATTTTTGTGTCTTGGTCCAGTGTTTGTCCCTCTGCTTTCTGTAGCTGTCATAATCTGGAATGATCTGAATTAATAGAAGGCCTCATTGCTGACAAATTTCCAAAAGTGAAATGTGTGTCCAATTCAATTTTCTTGCAATGGCTGAGAAAAGCAGGCAGAAAATGTATGTGCGTTATGGATTTAATAAAAATAGTATCTTTGACTTGTCAGTTCTTCATCCAGAAAACAGAGGGAATGACTCATATGTAGACATACAGGTGTGTAGCACCATTTTATGGATACCCCATCTGGCTTCCAGCTGCTGCTGAAAAAAAAAAAAAAAAAAAAAGTATGGCTCTCCTGCAAAAATCCTACGTCATATCCAAGAGCCCTGTACAGATGTCGTAGTGTCTATAAAGCACTAGGTACCTATGTTTAGGCAGCTGTATGTGCCCTTATTTATAAAATCTGTTGTAAGAATTTGCACAGTAGTAAGTGATTCAGTCTGTTCTTTTTCTTCATTGCAGTCGATGCTAACACATGGGCACAAGTTATCGCCTTGTACCCGACTTTAGTAGAATGTATCACCTGCTCATCCTCGGAAGTGTGCTCTGCTCTGAAAGAGGCACTGGTTCCCTTTAAGGACTTCATGCATCCACCAGCATCCAAGGTACAGAATGGAGAGTCTTGACCCCATAAAACTTCTTTTTTTTTTATTTTTGAAGGCAAAAAAGTATCCAAAAAATGTTTGTTCCCAGGTGAAGTTTCTCTGAGGAAGTCTCTTGTGACTAGTACTTTGGCAACCAGTGCTGACTGCCTTTTAACTGTACTAACAAGAGCTCAGTAATTCATGAATACAGGCTATATCTCAAAGGTTCCAGAGCGAGTAGCAGTGCAAACCTTTAATAAATTTAACTGAATAGTTGGAATCATTTATAATCTAATGTACTTGCTACAGTATCTTGAAGTGGTGATTGAAAAGTGGGCTTATGTACAGCTTGTTGTGTATGTGTTAATGATGTAATTAAAAATATTTCAATTCAGTCAGATTTATTAGGCTGGTGTTTTGCACCCTTTTTTTGAAGTACGAATTGTACTAAAATTTTATGCAAGATGGTACTGTAACATTCCATATATCTGTAACCAGCCTTTGTAAACAAAGGGAACTGATATACTTGTGTGTATAATAAATGGTACAGTTCTGTATAAAATAGTTGCATTTATTATTTAAATTCTTTTTAAAATATTGATAATGTTAAATGCTCGAAAATGTATTTATTATGAATAAGTTGTATGCTTGCATTTTTACTTACAGTTTGCCTTCTAAATTGCCAGATATGCTCATTCATATCTGATCATGTTGTTAGTTTTTGCTTAATTGAATGTATCTTCTCTGTGGCCATTGGACATCTAAGAAAGGGTCATATGACAAAAGATTGCGGCAAGCAGTCAGTAATCTGCTGATCTCAAACTTCAAAGTAGTTGACCTGAAATAAGTTTGGATATGCAGAAATCCACTGTAGCACTTCAACACTACCATACCTCACTTCATAATATATTTGTTCTGAGATGTTTGTTCTACTCAACTCTATCCATTTTTGTAGTTGCAGCCTTGCTTTAAAAAAAATACATATTTGAGAGATGTTAGCCTTTTTTGACCTTCTTGGCAGGTATCACAGTCTTTGAATCATGACCCAAGAAAGGTGATATCGAATATCTGAAATACTTGGCTGTAATATTTTGTTCAATAATTTTAAGTGCTTTGTTTTGTACTGTCTTTTCAACCCAAAAAAATTGTTCTAATCTTTTAATTATAAACTGTGTCTGATATAAAACCATGAGAAGTGTATTTTTGAAGGTAGTTACTCATATAGAAGTGCAGTACAATTTGTCATTGAGTAAATGTGAATTTGTTTCACGTAATACACAATCAAAGCAAAACACTTTTAACAGTATTGTTTTTAAAGTTTGTGACTTAGCACTTAAACTCCTATTTAATTATGATTTCAATAATGTTTCACCTGTATTCACATATTTTTAACCTGTGATGTGAAAGCACAAAGGCCAAATGTACAAAACAAAAAACAAAAAAGAAGAGACAGGTGCCTTTCTATGGATTTCAGAATTTCAGAGTTTACCTTCAGGTTTTTGTTCCTTAAAGTCTTTTGTAGATATTAAAAGAGATTATCATGCATAAGAAACGGTATTATATCTGTTTGCTTTACACTTCCCTGGCTAAAGGGACATTGATTGGTACATGTGAATAGATGCAGAAGTTGCAGGAGCTTCAAGCTGAAGGTGTGATGAACTGGTCAGGGTTAGAAATACCCTGCGTGAATAATGTTATACAAGCCCAGCTTTGTACAGCTTGCTCCCATAAGGCTCCAGTTTATGGTCATAGAATCATAGAATCGTTTAGGTTGGAAAAGACCTTTAAGATCATCAAGTCCAACTGTTAACCTAACTCTGCCATCCCACCACTAAACCATGTCCCTAGGTCCTTTTGAAAAGCTTTCTGTTTCAAAGTACAGTAGATATTAAAGAGGTTTCGAGAGCTTGCACATTTCTCTGTGACCAAAGTTGCATGGAACTTAAGTTGTCAAGCGTGGATAGTTTTTAGAGAACACAGAGTTTACATTAAGGAAACAAATGCTTCCAATTAACAGAATTTATGTCAACATAGCTTCTTTGGAGGAGCCGTTCCAGTATAATACAGAACTGGGTCCCACATACAGATAACAACATTGTCCATACTCTGAAAGTGATAACCTGGCAACTGCTTCCCTAATTAGTGGAAGATAAGTCAAGGTCTACGAGGTCATTAAAGAAACAAAGTGTAGGACAGGAAAGAAGGGTATTAATTTGGTTTAGAATATATTATCTTAGCCAGAATTTCTGGAAAGAGGCGTGCAGACAAAACTGTGGGTGAGTTTGTTTCTATTTAGTTTCTAATTGGTTTTTCAGTGATAACACAGATGCATTCTGTCCAATGAAGCACATCTTCAGCTTCATCTGTATTTTAAAAAGGGGCTGGATAAGTCTTTCCTGACTCTAGAGCTTAGTACTTTACCATCTGTGGACATGAATCTTCAAAAGGCTTGGAAATAAACTACCAATGATCTAACTTTCCTTCCTTTCCTCTTAATTACAAAATGAATAATATCTGTGCTATTTGAGGGAAGTTTTGGACACGCAAGCTGAGGCTGACCCTATTCAAACTGCTTTCTTGTATATAGTTTGAGAACTAAACCGAAAGCTACTTAGTTTAGAAAAGAGGTTTTTCCTTGACTAATTTTGTCTGTGAATAAGAATTATTCCCTTTACTGTGCCTTCTTGTCCAGCACTCACATATTTCTTCCAACTTGAAGTGTCTGTTTCTTTCTTCTATTTGTACCTTCTGCTAAATATTCTTAGGGCTTCTTTGATGCAAAGAGCATTTTTGAATATTGAAATTTCACATTTTTACATGTTTCTAGCAAGGTAAATCTTATTCCTGAAGAAAGTTAATTTAATTTAGTGTTACCTATTGAGTAGACCCATGTCCAAGTTCTTTTCAAGTCTGTAGGACTGCTTAGTCATGAGAAGTAAAACGTGTGAACGTTTTCAGGATTGGAGTCTGTATTGTGTCACTGAAATCAGCTAGAAAAGGGTACAGCTGACTGTACAGAAATGTCAGCTGTAAGTGGGAAGATAAGCATTAATTGCTCATTGAATGTAACCACAATCTTCACCTTTTTTCTTCTTCTCCCCAACTTTAAAAAAAGACATGGATTGGGAATCCAAAGAGAAAATGTGAGGGTCTTACAGATTATTAGAAGGTTCATATCAAGATTTTGGGTTACTTGGGAAAACTTGTATGTCTCAGTGCCATGACCGCTGCTTTAAGTACGCAAGGATTGAGGATTACAGAGTTAACTCCAATTAAGGAACAGATGCCTCACGCCAGGAACTTATTAAAAGTCTTATTCTTAGAAGTAACTGACAGTAGTTATTTGCTTATCATCAGAGATGCTTATCTAACTGGACATCCATTTTGTTCCCTTGTACATCTGCCTGCTTCCCTACCTGTTTTATTGGTGAACTGTGGAATGTTACTGGACATTAACCCACATGAAATACTTGGTCACTGTTAAGTTATTTACAAGAGCAAGTAGGAGTACATCTGTGAAACTTAAGGAGTTTATTGTTGTATTCTGCAGATGTTTGGGGTTTTTTTTCACCCAGGTTGAGTTGTTCTTGCCAAAGGACAAACCTTCTCATGGCTGGACTTGAACTCTTCAGGCAAGATATTTTTAGTGACATTAATGCCTTTATTTTCCTCAGCATATGGCAAACACAAATACTAGTCATCAATGCATTCTACAGAAATTAATTTAGAAGTGCAGGATACTACTCTTCTGGGGGCGGGGAGGGAACCCCATGTTTTCTCCTCATCCATTTCTGCACGGCTCAGTTCTGAGTCTTTCACTAGTTGTTCACCTCAAAATAGCAGCTTGCTACTCACTTCCTATGTAGGCAGGCATCTTCCACAGCTTCTTCTAAATTATTGTTAGCAGAAATGCCCCTCGTTCCAGGGATGCAGAAATTTCAGAAAATAAAATATACTGTGTGTATTTTGTGTCCATCTATTCTGATCTTTCATTCTGTCATGGCTCTCCATGTCACTTTTCAAGGGGCATGGGGAGTACCACAAAACGTCATCGTTTGTGTACACCTGCAGAGTACATGTATAGCGTTGTGAAGGAGTCAGCTATGAAAATGTGACTTGTGTGGTACCAATGAGTAACATTTTTCTTCCCCTTTTAGCTTAGTGAACTGAGATTGTGTTGTTTTAAGAACTCTCAGGACTGTCTTCCAGCTTTATCGATAAAATATTCTATGATAATGTACAGCGCTCATTATGAGTCTGGTTTGGTACAAAAAAACCATTCTCTCTTAATGATTAGTGTTTGCACATGCAGGTGAGATTCAGAATTTTCATCTCTAGCATCTTTACATGAAAATACTTAGATAGGGATGTAAACTGATTGAGACCTCACTGATTCTTGCAGCTTACTAAATAACTCTATTACAAAACTAACAGGATATGGACAGTTTTTCCTGGCCGCAGGTGATGAATAAATTCAATGAATAAGGTCTGTGCAGTATTTAGTTTATCTCAAGTCTCAGGAAAGAGCTTTTCAAACTCAGAGCTTCAGTAGGGCTTGTGCACCAGCATATAAGCACGCTTCCTGGCTAAGAATACTTCCCTCCCATGAAGGTTGCGTCATATTTTAAGAACTCATCAAATGTAAATCTTGTTTCATAGCTGAGTTGTAGTGTTCAGATTTATGTCATCTTCAAAGTATCTGACTGCTGGCTAATTTAGGACAGACAATGTTACGCTCTCTAGGAACCAGCTGCTGGGATCAAGAATGACTACATCAGCAGCAAGCGTGGAAAAAAAATTGATGGCTCTAGACAACTTGTGTAAGAAAGAGAAATTAAATATTCATGATTCTTAGGGTGGAGGGAGAACATCAAAATAAAAACGACTGGACTTGAAGAAGGGAGATTTCACAAAATTGATAGGTAAGATCTCACAGAAGACCGGTCTGAGGTAAGAGAGGAACTGAGGAGATAAGACAGTTCCTTGGAGATGGGAAGGTCATGACTGAAGGTACATCCCAGTGCAGGTGACGGAGACTAGCTGTAATAAGAGACCAACACAGTTAAAACGAATCTCATTGACTTCAAACACAAGGAGGGGAGACCTAAAGAAGGTGGAAGTTCAGATACCACCAAAGAATAGTGTTAACAGATAGGCGTGGAAGTAGATGAGATACAACTGTCAACTGACACAGAAAAAATACATAAGTAGTAACTAAGATTTGTGCTAAAAAAAGTCCTGACTATTTAAAAGAGGATGGCTATTGACATATCAAGAGGTTGTGTGTTTGGTTCAGATTTGCAATTTGTGTGTTGAATTTTTTGGTTTGTTACAGTGATGACTGATCGAAAAAGTCAAAAATCAACAGCCAGTGTATTGCTCGTGCAATTGTTATGAGTGACAGAGGTTGAAGAAGCTTACCTAGGAAAAGGAAAACATAAAAAAAAAAATAGAAAATAATTACACGTTGTCAAATTGACTGGGCCTGTAGAATTCTTGCTGGTATGTAACAAACTATCTGAGGAACTTCAGCATTTTTAAGGTCATCTTTGAAAATTAATGTAAAGCCAGACAAGTACCAGATGACTGAAAAAAAGCAAAACCAGTGTTTTAACTTTTTAAAGACAAAACGGAGAAGATGGAAATTATAGGTCAACTGGCCTGCCATTGATTCTTTTTTTTTTTTTTCTGACAAGTAAAAATTAAAATCTGTTGTTAGCATAAGCAAGATATCCATGACGTGCATAACTATTAAGTATGTGCTATTATTAAGTCACATAAACCCAAGTCTAATTTCTTTCTGTGAAAAACTGACAGATCTTGTGGATGGGATAAGAACTGGTTGCTAAACCTTGATTTTTAGTAAAGCTTTGGGCACTGTTTCATATGGCTCTTTCAGAAGCAAACCAGGGAAACAAAGTCTAGCTGAGCAGACAGGACCCTAAAAGCAAGCATTAGCTGATCAGGGTCAGAGTGTGCAGACTGGGATTCTACGTGTAGCTTTTCTGAATACAATATAAGGATAAGAGAGCGTGCTTACTAAACCGGTAGCAAACTGACATACATGTTACAAGAATGCTAAAAAGTAGGATTATAACACAGCCTCTCAACTGGCGAAATGGTCTCCCAAAAACGGGGATGCAATTCACCAACATGACTGTAAGATGCTGCTGTTTAAGCAGCAGTCAGGTTTTTCTATTTGGTTGTGCTGGCTTTCTTGTAGGAGACTGGAATTTCAAAACAGTGTTGATGGTTTTCCTTAGAAGATTGCTCCCGTGTTAAAGTGGCTGTCATTAACAACATCAAGAACTAGATCTGAAAACATGTTTTGCAACAGTTTTTAATAATAGAAGTGTAAAGCTAAGTCTTAAAGATCTTTTAAGCAATTAAAAATTAAAATTTTATACCAATTTTTTAAACTGATACATTTCTGTGCATAATCCATAATTTTGTAACATTTAATCTATACAGTGATTGTGTAATTGTCTTTAAAGCATAAAGTCAAAACTTTATTTAAATAAATCTCGTATTTTTCAGTTATGTATCAAACACCTGATCTCTACTCACACTGTTTTAAAAATTTCAACGAACAATGTATGTTATGTCTTAAAGAATTAGGTGTATATTAAAGACAGAATGGAATTCTTGCAATTGAAATAGTAGTGAGTGGTATTACCAGCAGAACAGGCTTTTTGTGGTGCATTGTAGGATGCATCAAATAGAACAACTGCAATGCATGAGTTACCATCCACTTTCAGAATGTAACAGTCCTCGTGTCCTGTCAGTTAGACAGTAACATACTAGAAAGTGATCCTTGTATTTCTGAGGTCCTTATTTAAGCATTTATGCCTTGATTATGAAACAGACTTGATAAACAGGATGAGATACCTGGGTGTTTCCTATGCTAACTGCAGCATTTCATTAGCAAGGGATGAGAGCGTTCATTGCTCGAATTTCCTTTATATTCTACTTTCAGAGGAGTTCTCAGACAAGCTTATTTTTAAAATCTGTATGATATGCTTTTCTCTCCATGTTAACACATTTATTCCCACTGGTGGTCCACATGCCTACCTTAAGAACTTTTTAAGGAATCTCCTTTGTCAAGCGCCGTAATCCTCTTTTCACCTGAAGCATGTTCCTTATGGAAAGGACAAGTCAAATACAGCTACCACCTTTTTTTTTCAATCAAAAACACTGCAATGTTGAAACATACTCAAAGGCCTCAGCCCGTACTGCCTGTCAGTTTAATGTTGTTCAGGGTTTTTTGGTCTGTTTTGTTTTCAGAAGGGATTGCCAATAGATAAATAAGAAAGAAAATCCCTTGTAAGTCAGGTATCTGTTTGGCATCTTCACAGTTTTGTTATTGAAGACCCTGATCTTCAAACTGGAATCATAACTGCTGCTCTCTGTGTACAGAATATCTGCCTTAGACTTGGCATGAGTCTCCATGACCAGTGATATTTCCGAAGTTGACAGCTTCAAGACTGCAGAGGCTGGTGAGGATGGGAGACTGTTGGAAACTTGAAACTTGACATTGCCTGGTCTGTTGTTTTTAATGTTAACTATTTCTTACTTGGAACCATTAAAGTTGCCAAGGAATTACTTATGTTTCTGGCTTCCTTCCCAGAAGACTCACACTTCTTTCCCCCATCACATCACAGGCTAATGCCTGGCCATGAGGGGATGGACTGAGAGGCTCCATAGAAAAATGGCAGCCAAAACTGGATTGCCACCAAGAGAGGGCCTTTAATAAGCACGGAGAGCAGTCTGGGTTTGATCAGCATGAGGGAACATGGAAGGGGACAGGAATATTATGTCCATAGTACTGCTGGCATGTACGTGTACAAAGAACTGGTTTCTGGAGTACATCACAACTATTACGTGCAGATCTACTTACAGAACATCTGCTCATGCCTGAGGGCTTGGCGTTGTAGCATAATCTGGTACTATCTTACCACTACAGTGAGCCCCAGAGTCTGCACATAGTGCTGCCCTAGAACAAATGAGGAAAGATAAACATTGATTTTAGAAAAGACATTTTCATTTTTTTCTTTTAAAATATGAAACCAATAACCTCAGTTACAGCTGTATGCACTATAATCTCTTAAAATTTTTAAGCGGTTACGTGTTGCCAAAGTCTTAAAAAAGAATGCACTGAACTGATGAATGGAGTGGCACAAACCCCTTCCTCTTCATACAGGAAGAATCAGGAAGCAAGTTTTTGAAGTGCTAAACCACAGTCTGATAGCAGTAGCTGCTTCTTGCAGTTCAATTTCACTTTAACTGGCTTAATTCAAACAACTAATTCAGACTTGGAATCAGATCAGGGATTAGAAGAGCTTGGGGTTTTTTTTCCCCTTCCATACATAGGATAGATCTGTGAAGGTGAAATCTACTGTATCTAAAAGCTGAAGGCAGTGCCAGCCAGAAACAGAGTTCTATCCTCTTTGTTAACAATATGTATTTCATGAATGTATCCAATACATTTAAAACAGATCAATCTAAGAAAGAATTATTTTGAATGCCATTTTTCATATTGTTCTACTTTGTATCCAAACAGAGCCCTATGGAAACTAATGAAGCGTGAAATAATCAAGAAAAAATGTACTCAGTTTTCTGATAAAATGTAACCATTTAGCATCTAATAAGCTGTAGAATTGTTAATTATGTAAATGTATTCCCTAGTTATAAAAGGTTGCCAGTCTTAGTGCAATGACTATATTTAATTACAAACAAACGTTTAAATAATTGCTAATGAAGTAATAAAAATAATTTGTAGAAGAGAGACATAGAGGTGCAAAATAAGGTTTAAAACATAGTTCCCTTATTGAAATCATCATTAAAAACAAGTCACTTTTGACAGAAATCATTCCTCCTGTAATCAAACTTACAAGAGGCAGTATGGAGTATTTGCTTTGAGAGGCACAAGTTGGATTCTTCTTCTGAGATTTAGGTAACTAAAATTTTGAGGTCTACCCCAAGATTAACTAGCCTGGCTAGTTAGGGAAGACAATTAGGCAGGCCTAGCAGGAGATCCATTCCACCCTAAAAGAGGTCACGTTAAGTTGCTACATGGAAGTGCCAGTTCTTGCTACGGCACTTCAGGCTTAGGCATCTGGTGTTTTGTGGGTATTTCTCAGTTTACTTCAGACATCTCAAAACAGGGAAGATGAATCTGTCAGTGGCTCAGCCAGCCACAGTAAATGCAACTGACTTTGCTGTTGCAATGTGTTGATGGTGCTGTAGTTTTTTTGAGCTCCCCTAAAAGCATTTTCTTTGTGGTTTTTTGTTTGCTTTTTGGTTTTTTACGTGTCCTTTGCAGGAGCCTACTCTGAGGCTTAGTTGTTTTCTTCCCCTCGTTGAGATCATACTCCAGCATTTATTTGTTGTGTCCTGTCTCTGCGAGGGACAACATTTGCATTAGTCTAAATACTTAGATGAAGACTTAAGAGCTCAACAGTTAGTGTAGAGAGTATAGCTAGCTCTTTTTGAACCTTAAATTCTCCTTGCTACTGATCTTTCTTGGTTTTCCATAGATTCTCCAGTTTGGATGAGCACATGACGTTATTGTTTTCATTAACTCAGTAAACTGAACTAAACATTTCCAGTCCTGCTACACTTTTGTACACTCCCTGTAAGAGAATTTTTCTGTTTGTTTTTTTTATATAACATTTAACTGCTGCTTGCTACCCAGTCGTTTCAGGTCAACAAGGTTACAGTTGCTTCTGATACCTATAAGTTGGTGCCTGAATGCTTATTTTTGGCATTTGAATTTCTCATCTCCGAGGAAAAAATGTTTGCTAGTAAACATGACTTCTTTGAAAGTCATTGCAATTCACATTCTCAGTAAAGAAGACTTGAATTGCTGAAAGTAACTAAGGGCACCAATCCTCAAAATCTGAGAGGTGTGCATTACAGGCTATGGGACAGCGCAAGGGAATCGTCAAGGTGAGTGGCTCCACCAAACATTCGGGTCTGGAAGTTTGCAGATTGGTACCTGCATCCATCTGCAGCCTCGCATGTTTCCTAACCTTTTAGTTGCTTTTTCATTGCCTTCCAGGATCTACTTTAATAACTTCTTGGACTTCTAGTTTTTAGATAAATGCAAATCTGAAAAGAAAATACCACTGCAGATGTTCTGATTTGCCATGTAATAAATAGTGATGTATGCTGAATATCTGCGGTTAGTTTTTAGAGATATGTGATAACAATTTAAAAATAACATTTTCTGCCTATACATCTATACACGGTAGACTACAAATATTTCAATTAATAGATTTCCCAACTTCCAAGAGGAAACAGTATTCTACTGTTGTTTACCTGCCCCTTCTTACTTTACTTTTACTTTCATCCAGAAGTGCTGATTTTCCTCATATAGAAATGGCAAACTCCTTGTCCAAGAAACTTCCTAAATGTACTCATGATGGAATTCAGTCTGTTAATTAATGAA